TCCTTACTAAAGTTAACATTAGCAGATATAGCAATCCATTCCCAAACAACTGGTTTCAATTCGTTACCCTGAGTGATGAATAAGAAGGTTAAACTGGTGTTTATTTTTGATGTTCTGCGCGCAGGAGAAGATGGGCGGCTGGCGTACGAACAGCTGGACAAATTTCCTCGAGACCGTGTTAACGCCGGAGGGCGTCATGGGGCTGAAGTTGCCACGGCCTTTTAATGAGCTCTGCCCAACAGCCATCTTAATAAATGGCCCTGTTCATCAAGATGGTGCTGGGATTTAGCGGGCGTGTTTAAACCTTGAAGAGTTCTGCTGAGGTTGTCTGGAAATTTAACACGTCATAGATAGAAGTCAAAGTCGAGCGTCATAGTACCTATCTACTTTTCCTTTGGCCGATAGAATAGGGCCAATATGACTCCGTAGATGACGGTGTCGATTGCGTCTGACGATACTTGGTAGGAGCGTCCATCTTATCTCGTATGTATGGAATTTTAAAACAGCCATCTTTGTACTTTTTTGGAAGTTCTTCTCTAAGCCTAAAACCGTCACATGATACTTTGATGACTATCACACGCCTTGCGGTGTCTCCCCGTCGTGTCCTGAGGGTTGAGGGGCCCCACCAGCTACCTAATTTTACCTTAAATGCAAAGCACAAAAAAGAATTTCTTCGAATAACAGTTTGCCCGCGGAACTCGGTAAAATGACACATTGTAAGAGTTTAAATTTTTTTTTTAACTTCATTTTTTTTTCCAAGCCTCCATTACTTCTTTTGTTTCTTTTCTCCATCCTGACCATTCCCAAAGCATGTTTCCGTGATGGATAAAAGACAGGTTGATGTCTAAGATGATACCCGTACTTCTTAAAAAAAGACATTCGAAGTTGAAGCTTTTTTGAACACGAGCCATTTTTTTTTTTTAATGATACTTTTACAACAGAGGTATTTTGCTGCTAAGACAAATCAAAACAAAAACTCATGGAATCAGAAAGCTGTGATGCTCTTTGGGGTCATAGAACTGGGCACTTGGAGGAATCTTAATGGGGCGGGAGCAGATAGGAGATTCACAAGTGGTCCTTGCTTCTACAGGAATTACCATGAGATTAGGAGGAAGAATGTCCCGAGGGACGAGGCACAAGAGACAGTTAACTGCCCCAGAGAAATCACTTGTCACTGGGTGGGATCTCTTGGCCAAATAGTTAAAACAACAGCTCCCCTTACTGTTTCTGTATCAGGGGAGCAATTCCACTAAATAAAGTACAAGACCACTAGATAGCTCGTACTAACTTTCCTTCCTCTTAAGAGTATACACGGTGGGATATGCCAAGATATCAAAATAAAATGTGTGAGTGTGATTTCAACCGTGGAATATCAACTGTATTCTGGATGTGTTCGTATCAAATATTTAGGTGTCGTTTTAAATATTTACATTTTAGCAAGACCTTTAAGAACAACTCTTAATCCATTTTAAAGTAAGAATTGTTTGCCAGACTTCCTGGCGAATAGTTCTTTCAACTGTGAAGTTA